GACTTGAGCATTCACAGATTTTGATATCTATGGGAATACTGGAACCCATCCCCCTGGATACAGAGGGACAACTGTATGGAAGGAACGTTCAGATAGTAGGTTTACTTAAATGTACACCCGTGCATTTGATGTAAAACTCTATTAAAAGGTAGGAAGATGGCTCGGCGCCTGTGGCTCAAGCAGCTAAGGCGCCAGCCACATACACCTAAGGTGGCAGGTTCGAATCCCCAGCCCGGGCCCGCCAAACAACAATGATGGCTGCAACCAAAAAATGGCCAGGCGTTGTGGCGGGCGCCTGTAGTCCCAGCTACTTGGGAGGCGGAGGCAGGAGACTCGCTTGAGCCCAGGAGTTGGAGGTTGCTGTGAGCGTGATGCCATGACACTCTACCCAGGGGGATAGCTTGAGGCTCCGTCTCAAAAAAAAAAAAAAAAAAAGGTAGGAAGATAAAATCAAGGAAATCTCCGAGTAAGCAGAGAAAAGGTGAGAATGCTAAACAGCTGATCCAAAGAGTCTAGTTTTTGAATAGCAACACTTGCAGATAAAGAAAAAAGTATGTTGGCTCAGCACCTGTAGTTCAGTGGTTACGGCACCTGTAGTTCAGTGGTTACAGCACCAGCCACATACACCAGGGCTGGTGGGTTCGAACCCTCCCTGGGCCTGCTAAACAATGACAACTACAACAAAAAAATACCTGGGCATTGTGGTGGGCACCTGTGATCCCAGCTACTTGGGAGGCTGAGGCAAGAGAATCGCTTAAACCCAAGAGTTTGAGGTTACTATGAGCTATGACGCCACAGCACTCTACCAAGGGTGACATAGTGAGACTGTCTCAAAAAAAGAAGAAAAAAGTGTGATAGAGATCAAAGAAATAATTCAAGAGGAGCTTTGCTCTCAGAGGATGAAACTGACATTATCTGACATGTCTGAACACTTAAATGTCATTCATATTTGTAATCCCAGAGTCAGAAAAATGTAATCATTAGCAAGATACAGATCTTTGAAATAAATAAAGGAAAAATGCTTGAGAAACTTAGAATTGGTGAGCCTAAGTTCTTTTGGTATTGATAGTGGATGATAGTATGTTACAATCTGGCATTCAATGTTTCTCATTGGTAGTAAATGAATTCTATCTATAAACTATCAATAATTGCCCAAAATCTGAAAAATGAAGAGAAAGTTATAGCCTAATCACTAATGTGGTCAATAAAAATATTCCAGAGGATGAGTAGCAAGTAGAAAAGGCAGAGGGATAAACCTAAGTTTTTTCATCAAAATTATTTAAAGTATTTGGTAGGAGAAGGGTGTAGAATTCATATGGAAAAGCTTTATGTCAACTGTTACTTTACTTTATGAAATACATAAAATATCATCTTAGTTATCATAAGGATTACAACAGATCATATCATAAAAGCTAAAAAGTTTAATTTTACAAACGGGGAAGATTAAAAGTATAAAAACACAGTATGTGATGTCAAAGAATTGTGAAAATAGAATTATCATGGAGTTGAATTTTTTTTTTTCAGACAGAGCCTCAAGCTGTCACCCTAGGTAGAGTGCCATGGCATCATAGCAACCTCCAACTCCTGGGCTCAAGTGAGTCTCCTGCCTCAGCCTCCCAAGTAGCTGAGATTACAGGCGCCCACCACAACACCCAGCTATTTTTTGGTTGCAGCCGTCATTGTTGTTTGGCGGGCCCAGGCTGGATTTGAACCCACCAGCTCAGGTGTATGTGGCTGGCGCCTTAGCCGCTTGAGCCACAGGTGCTGAGCCAGAGTTTAAGTAGTTTTTAAAAAAGGATGGTTGGCACATAATTGGTACAAAGGACAAGTAAGCAAAGCTTTCATAAAACATCCTACTTTAAATACCTGCATTTACTCAAATCATTTTATTTGAGACAGAGCCTCAAGCTGTGGCCCTGGGTAGAGTGCTGTGGCATCACAGCTCACAGCAACCTCCCACTCTTGGGCTCAAGTGATTCTCCTGCCTCTGCCTCCAAAGGAGCTGGGACTACAGACGCCTGCCACAATGCCAGGCTATTTTTTGGTTGCAGCCGTCATTGTTGTTTGGCGGGCCCAGGCTGGATTTGAACCCACCAGCTCAGGTGTATGTGGCTGGCGCCTTAGCCGCTTGAGCCACAGGTGCCAAGCCACTCAAATCATTTTAGAGATGAGAGTCAGTGGCTCACAATTCTTGGATGTGGGAATGAGATATCATTTAACAAAATAAAAGACTTAAGGTGAGAAAAAAGAACTCAGCAGAAAATCTAGTAAATAGGAAACTCACTTCACCTCCTCTATCTCTCCCTTCAATACCACATCTAAATATATATTCATGTATCTATACAGAATAGTAATTATATGGAATGCCTTTTCCCACTTCAATCTTATCTACAATAAGATTTTCACAGCAAAATTTAAGTTCTTTACACAAGGTCCATAAACAGGCTTTGGATAGCTACGGATCCCCACTCCACCTCTTGCAAATGTATGCAAATTCTACAGGTATATATCTTTCTATAAAGATATTTGAGCTTTTACAAAAACTTCCAAAACTATCTTCAAAAAGGTAACCTACTTCAGAATGAAAGATCTTGTCCTCCTTTTTTTTTTTTTGGAGACAGAGTCTCACTACATTCCCCTGGATAGAGTGCCATGGCACCATACCTCACAGCAACCTCAATCTCCTGGGCTCATGCAATCCCCTTGCCTCAGCCTCCTGAGTAGCTGGGACTACAGGTGCCTGCCACAATGCCTGGCTAGTTTTTCTATATTTAGTAGAGGTGGGAAGGTGCTGTTGCTCAGGCTAGTCTTGAACTTCTAGGCTCAGGCAATCCACCTACCTTGACCTCCCAGAGTACTGGGATTACAGGCATGAGCCACAGAGCCCAGCCTTGTCCATTTATTTTTTTATTTTTTTTTTTTT